AGTGGCTACCGCGCTTAGCTTCGCCGCCATCCCCCCACATCCCCCCACCACCCACCGTATGCCCCGGTCGAAGTACTCCCGGCCTTGCGACTGGTGCTCTGCCCGCAAGGTCCGCTGCGACGACTTGCGGCCGTGCTCTCGCTGTGTCAAGAAGGGGATCGAGTGCACGCTGAACCGGGTCCGCAAGAAGTGTGGGCCCAAACGGAAACACGAGCGGGAAGAGGCACTGCCGGTGTCGTTCGAACCGATTGCCGTTGACCGTCTCGCCCCCGTATTGGCCGCCTACGACGCCTGGTACTACGGCTGGTGGCCGGTAGTCACTTACACCGACCTCGTCGCCGAGATCCGCCAGCTGGACGACCTCATGGGCCACGCCTCCTCCTACGCCTACGCGCTTCTGTTGGCGATTCTGGCGGCGATCCTGCGCAAACTCGAGTTCTTGAGGCAGCTGCCGTTCGACCTCGCCGAAGCCGTCCACCACCTGCGGATGATCGAGCTCTGTCTCCGCCTCCGCGAGATGTACAACCACACCAGCGTCGCCTCCTATTATACCATCGCCACCGAGCTTTTCCTCTGGGTGTACTATATCAACATGCCCCACGGCACCGCCCGTGCCATTGTCCACTTGCGCAGCGCCTGTCTGTTGGCCCAAGTGCTCAAGCTTCATTTGCCCGCCACCTACGACGGGTACGACCCCCGCACCCGCCACCGCATGCGCAAGCTCTGGTACTGTCTCGTGTGCACCGACCGGTTCATGTGCGTCGAGGACGGGTTCCCCATCGTCCTCCGCACCCACATCCCGTTGCCTAACCCTGAAGACGAGGTGCTTGAAACAGACCCGCACCTGCTTGAGAACCCCGTCGACAATATGGGGTTGCCGTCCAAGTGTGACGTCATCGACGGGTTCAACCGCATCTCCCAGGTATACATCGCCCCCGACGCCTTCTTCTACGATAGCGTCGCCGACCTGTTTGGCCACGACGACTTTATCGTGCAAGAATCGCCCTACGGGGCTTTGGCAGCGCAGGAGATCATGGCGCTGGTGCTGGCAGTGATGGAAGCCAACGCCTACTTGCCCTTGGACGGAGCAACGCCTTTTGACACTGACGTCGTACCTCCGGACGAACTGGGACTCTTGCCGTCTCAGATCCACCTCATCTCGACGCAAGCGAGCTTGGACCAGTGTCAAAGTACCCCGAGGCTCTCGCACGTGCTGGCCCTCAATGTCATTCTCACCAAGTTTTGGTTGAAACTGGTGGTGTGGAACTCCGGGTGTCTCCGCATGTTGTTGCTGGAGCTGGCACCGCAATTGCTGTGGAAATACCCCACGACCATTGCCTATGATCTTCTTGCCGCCACCACCGCGTTTCCACCTATGGTATTCGAGTCTAACGGCCCCGGGGTGGTGGTGAAACTCCTCGGTATTGCCAACGGCGTCGCCAACAGCATCGCCTACATTCAAGACCCGCTGTCGATTGCCGGTCAATCGACGCGCCGCCCCGAAGACAATTACCGGATGTTCAACGCGTTATACCTGCTATTCCTGTTGGTGACCACGTTCAAAACGGCAATCAAGCTCCCGGCAGGCCTTTACCACAAAATCGAGCGCATCGTGCTGACCCAACCCATCCCGAGGCTGATCTCTTACCAACACCGTCCGTCGCTGGGGTCTGACCTGCTGGTTACGCCCACGGTATCGCCGATCCCGCCGATATTCCGTAGCCACTCCGACCAGCAGGTGAACCCGTACCCAAGCATTAAGGAAGAGTTGGAAAGCTACTCGTTCGATACAAATTCAGCAGCGCACGTGACGTACTTATAAGCCAGTCTTTAATTCTAATACAGCATTACCATTAACTAATAAGGTGGATCGTGTTCAATATGAGGTGATATGGGTTCACATCGATCACTTTAGACTTGTGTGTAACCATCGACATCGTCTCCAGTTAAACCCCAAGTGCTATAGGTTATAGAGTCTACTCGAATATAATTAAGGAGAAATCTGTCAAGGAGAACTCATTACATATTTGTAATCGGAATGGCATTTGTGGTTCAAGGGCCAGTCTTGTGTCACTTGAATACGACAGGTTTCAATTTGTCATCAAGGAATAGTAATGGCACTAAACCCGATTGAAGGCTTAGTCAAAAGGGATCGATGTAGTCAAGATATAGGCCTTCGTAATCGTATACCTCGTGTTCCAGTGTGCTTTGGCTATCGATCGTACGATCTGTGTGGTGTGTAGTATGGCCATCAATAATGGAGGTGACGACAGAGGCGGATTATACTACAAATTTGTCACATTCTCAATGGGGAAATGGCTGTAGTAATCTTAGTCAGTTCGTCTTTAGTGTAGTAATCGTCGTAGTAAGTGTTTATGGTCTGCATTTGATAGGTTTTGTGTCATCTAAGGCTTTCTTTCACAGCGACAAATGTGACACAACTTCAAAAATACAAAACTATGGTGATTTGTAATGAATTTAATTTGTAATAGAGATAGTATTCCATTTTTACTAACGATTGTAGTTTGTAATGAGATCATTTTGTAATGGTAATAGTAATTCGTTTACTAACCGTCTTCGTTTTCAGCACTAGGTTCAACCAGCTATGTGATACCGTCATCTCATTGTAGGGGAGTTACGTAAATCAAAGTGAGACACTCCCATTTGTAATATATTCGTTTATGAAGGTCGTAGTAAAGCGTTTCAAAATATCGTCTGATTGTGTAAAATTTGTCGCTATGTGTTCACAACATTAAAACACTTCTCCCGACCCAACGAACAACCGATTGTTATTATCCTCGCACCACTTGATGATCTTAAGACAATTCTTGATCAATTCTTGCAGAGTTATAAACTCGTCACATATGCAATAGAACTCCAGCGAGTCGTCAATCAACATGAACCCCGTCATCCCCCCAGGCCAGCGCAAGTACGAAAACTTGCGATTGGGTGCATGCTCGGTGGTGGTTTTAGTGTTGTGTAGCGTGGCGTAATAGTAGCTTAGCAGCAAACCGAAGTTACCATCAAAGTCAGCCAAATGCTCCGGATTCAGCATAATGAACTGATTATACTTGCGGACTTTATATATAAAGTGCTTGATATAAGGCACTTTAATGTCTCGCAGGATCAGCAATTGGTTCAGGAGCCCCACTTCGTCAGGTAATCGAGGTATCTCTTTGAGTTTCAGGATAATGTAATGGGCAGTCTTCAGCATTTCACCGAACGTATTTTTATTTCCCAGAAAGAGTACGATAGTAAACGGTTGCGCCGGGACCCCAAGCTCAAACCGGCTTATATAAGCATAGAGGAATCCGTTGGGGTTGAAGCGAGGCATGCAAAGGGGAATCCAGCTCTCCTTTGCCGAGTCGACGGCGTCGTGACGACAGCCAATAATGCGAAAAAGAATTTGGAGGTCCTCGTTGGTCAAATGGTGGTTGCGAGGATGCAGGTACGATACCACTTTATCAGTGCCACTGGTGATCAAAACAAAAAGAAGCTCCGACGCTAAGAGTTTATTATGTTCGGGAGCTCCTGGGCCTTCGGGAAGCAACAGAAACACCAGTTGAGCATCGCTTGATGAACTGTCATCTTTAATTCGTTTGCACAGAGCAATCACCGAATTCACCTTCGATCGGACTGATTTGGCAACCTTAACGTTTTGCAAGCACTCACCCAAATATTCACTAATGAAGTAGTCAAAGTCAGCGACGTTCCCCGCATCAAATTTACCCAGATAGCCATAGGTCAACGCCATGCACATATTGTCAAGCGTTTCGTAGTCTAGCGGAGTCAACACTTTGCGTAAATCATAGTTCATTCGGTTCTGGAAGTTGCGGTCAATCGTGGGCTTGGAAAGCACCATGAGGAAGTACAGGTACACGGCATCCAATTGTCGACAAAGAGTACTGGCAGACTCGTGGGCAAGCTTCAGAATCGCCACCACATATAACGGCAGCGCCGACTTGATGGCAATTTGCGTGGTGCCCCACGACACCGTTCGGAGGTTCTGGTGCCACGAACCATCGTGGAACGTCAGGATTAATGTTGTTATCACGCCCATGTATCCCATTACTGCCTCATCGTCGCCATGGAGCGAGTATATTGGTTTCCCCGCTGCCGATATGACGAACACTTGCTTTAGCTTCCCCTCGAATTTCTCGGTCAGTTTGTTGACGGCAATCAACTCGTCATAATACTGGGCTTCGTCCGGTAGTATCCGTCGCTGAGGAAGCACCAGTTTAGGGACAATTCCCACGTCCAAGTACGATATCCGCTGCGGGGTGTGGGGCGATGGTTGCGCCTGAGACATGAGCCCCAGAAGCATTTCTGCCAACTCGTCGTCGCCTTCGTCACCTCTAGCACTGCTATTAGCGCCATAGCTGTGGGTGGACGTGGTTTCGGCACCGATCTCGTCGTCGCCAATGTCTCCGTTCACCAGCACGTCCAGCACCCCCGCCACACACGTCTGCAGCTTGCGCAGCACCAATGCCGGCGAAATCAACTTGCCGGGCACCTCCAAGGCGGTCACTTGTGAAACAGGCCGAAGATCAGCCGGGGGCGGCTCGGTCATTCTTGGGTTTCACTCACTGATCGGTTATACCCTTAGTGGATGCGGTCCGGTGGAGACCCTGCAGGTAGCGCACAGAGCACGGCTACTACTACAAACAAAAACAACCACGGACTAGAATAGAATAAGATACGTGATAGCAATTGAGTTATTATGTGTTATACAGTCAATACGTAGCGACTACAAAAGGTAAGTAGACACGCGAAAAATCGCAATAGTATATGAGTGAGTACCGTGAGTAATATAGTATGGTGGACGAGGGGTTAACGCAAATATCTGAAATAGATGATGATCATGAAGAACAACCCCAAACCGCCAATCACCGCGTACTGTCTGATCATGGCGTCGAAGTTAATTCTCTGCGCCCGCTTGCGGTACTTGACCGAGTCCATCTTCAACGACAGCGACAAGTCCAGCATTTTGTCGAGCGAATCGCCCCGGTACAACAAGTCCTCGATGTTCTTCGTCATCACCTTCTTGACGTCGGTCAAGTCGTTGTTCAACCGGTCCAAGTTCAGCTGCACCCGCTGGTCCTGGTATATCTTCTTCGTTTTCAGCAAAAAGTTGTCAAACAGAGAAAAACCGAAGGGACGAGCGCTCACACTAAGCGCATCCTGGCCATGACTCTGCTGGAACTCGTTGCTGATCTCGTTAAGATAGGAGAACGCCAACTTGCGCGGGTACCCTTTGTCACAGATACACAAATAGATGATCTGGTTGGCAATGATGTAGTGGATATTGTAGGCGCCCAGCTCAATCGTCGCCTGAGGAGCCGAGTTCGGGGTGATTCGCAGGATGAGGATCTTGCATTTCTTCTTCTGTTCATTGAGGCCAGGATCCGCCTCGTCATCAACTGACCCACACAAGGGAAGCGCTAGAAAGTTAGTACCACGTTCAATTTAGGGTATATGGTTATGGGGAGGGTGGTACTTACCGTCGTAACGGTAGATCAGAGTCGATAACACCATGGTCCGTCGTCCTCAGCTGCTGTGCACTAGAGTTTACGTGTAGCTTGCCGCACATGTCTTGCCTGTATACAGTGACAGAGCCGCGATCAGGGTGGGGAACGTCATCAACTAGCCGAAGACTCGTAGGGCTTGATTTCGTTGGTTAGAATCTACAGTTGGCGAGTTGTGATTGTCGTTAGATTAACAGAGTATTGAATTTCGACGATATCGTCGAAATTCCCGCCACGTGGCAATTGGTGGTATACACCTAAATCCATTTTACTGATGGCCAACGATCACAACAAAACAAGCCTACTACTGTATAAAATAGGCCGTTTTTACATACGTATTTGGTTTAGCTCTTAAGTTGCCTTTTCCTACCAGTACCTTCGCTTAGCTCTGTGCGGTGTCAGCTATTGTCTTGCTGCACGATTACTCTCGCCCCCTCGTGATCTATCTCCCCTGACCACGATGAAACATCATGCGTAACTCATTGCTCCTAAACTTCCTTCTAATATTTGACGTGTCACCCGAAGATTTCTCTGCTAACCACCCCAAAAATTCTCGGCTGGGCTCGGCAATTGCCATCTAACCGTTTTCTTTTTTTTTTCGTTGTAGGCCTGGAGTCACCACTAATTGCCAGAGCACACGATCGATTCGCACCCGACCAAATCTTACTTTAATACCTTAACCGTGCTTACCACCAAAGCAGGGCTTGATGACGCTAGACATGTCGAATCTACTGAAGGAGCTACCACAGTCCAAAACTCTGGTGCGGGAAGCTCTGGCCGAACTTACCAGCGAGTTCAAAACCGCCGCTAAGCTGGTAGCAGCACTCTATTCCGCCGCCGACAATAAAGAAGCAGTGAAGCCTCAATTTAGCGATGCCGCCCGCCTGGTGGCGATGTTGTACCGCAAATCGTACCAGCTTAACGACCTATACACTCAGTCGGGTTACCTCGGCTGCCTCGATGAGCTTCTCGAGGTCATCGCATCGGGGGGTGACGTTGAGAACTGGGCGTTAACCCGGCGGGCAGAAATCATCAAAAATACCAAAGCATCCCCAGTGGCCCCTCAAGAAACTCCCGCCAATACCGCTGCCATCGATGACCTCCCGCAGGAGTTTGTCATCCCGGAAGACTTTGCATTTACTTTTACCTCCAACGGCCCACGGCCACCGGTACAATTCCGCCCGCAGATGCTGCCTCTTAGTATCCAGCACCTGAAAAAGCAACGGGCACTGGCGGTTCGTAAGTACTTGTCCAACAAAAACCTCCGCAAAGGCGGCCCCCCGGCTCAGGAGTCGGCGAGCTCCGGTGGTTCTCTGGACGAGGAGTCTCAGGCAACGGTGAAGCGTCGCCGCCAGGGTCCACCTGGATCTGATCGTCGTCGTCGCGACGATGGCACCGCCTGATTCAGCATTTTAGGTATCTAGGCCGAAAAGCTGTCGTGCATCGCATTTGGCATTTTACATTGGTTACCAAACCGATAGAAGCATGAGTGACTGGTTTCATTATTCAATTAAATAGCATAAAAGTACGCAAATTATTACAACGGTACTAGTAGCGAAGTCTCACAATTTATCTAAATTAGTTTTGGTGTTCACCGAGAACTCCAATCGAACAGCACAGATAAAAACTACTTAACACAATCCTAGCTACTCTTTAAAAAATTCACAGTGGCCAATTTGGGCACATGATTTTTGTTAGCAATACTTAGTCTTATCATCCAGCTCGCATCCCACATTATCGGTGCGGCTCAACCCTGCGATGCCCAAAGCCCCCGTCCAAGGAAAGGGCTCCCTCAAGGACCTAGCCAAACGGCAGGTGTTCAAGCCGGTACTTTTCGATGCTTATACTCAATCAAACACCTGGCCCGAGGTTAAACCGGAATCTATACAGACTTTGCTCGATCTTCTTGAAGTGCTTCTAAGTCCTATTGGATCATACAATCAAATCAAGGCCGAGTCCAAGGACAAACCGGGTTCGCTTCCAGATGCTCCCGAAGTGCTTGATCTGGTGACATTGGGGTTTAACTCCACCGTCAAGGCTCTTGAACGCCAGGTGGGGAAACCGCTGAAAGTGTTGGTGGTGTTTGTGTGTAAGGCCGATATCTCGCCCACCGTGCTTACAGACTTCTTCCCTACGCTTGCGTGTACTCTGTCATACGGAGGAGAACCGGTTCGGCTCATTGCTCTCCCTCGAGGAAGCATGGCCAAACTTTCACAGATCGTCGGCAAGCCTCACACCGGTATCATCGGGGTCAGAGCTGGTCTCAAGGGAGGCGAGTCCTTATTTCTGATAGCAAATACGGTGGCGCCGGTGACGCTACCCTGGCTAGACGAAAACAAGATGGCGGCGTACATGAAGCCTAACGTCAAGGTGCTCGCGACGCTGGCCCCGGTCAAACCCCCAAAGACTAAGCAACAAAAGAAGAAGTGACAAAAGTCGATGTTACGTATGCATTATATAACCATTACAAGTTCAATTTACAGATTTTGGCGAACATACCTGCGACCTGGAGGTACGACGACACCCCTTCCAACACCCTCATGTGGGTGAACCCCACTTCCTTGATCACCTCCAACCGTCCCGTTTCCAGGGTCCCCTGCCAGTACTTGGCCACTCTGAAGGTGGTAGTGACGATGTCAATGGCGGAGTACCCTTTCTTCCACAATTCATCTAGTTGAGCAAGGGCCCCGTCGATATCGCGTTGCTTACACAACAGCAAGATCTTTTGGATCACTAACGGATGAGGCTGGTCAACGATTTTGAACACATTAACATCGTTGACCAAGCCAAACCCGGCCACCGTAGATTGTAGATTGTTGATCGCTTGTCTCATGTCACCTTCGGCCGTGAAGATAAGCGCTTGCATACCTTCACTAGTATATTCAACGTTCTCAGCTTTGGCCACTTCAAGTAATCGAGCCAACACTTCGGCGTCGCTCAACTTATTATACCGCAAAATGGCACACCGTGACTGCAACGGCTCAATGATTTTCAGCAGCTGGTTGCAAGCAAAGGCAAACCGTGTAGTTTTTGAGTAGATCTCCATTGTCCGCCGCAACGCCTGCTGAGCCCCGGGAGTCATCGAGTCAGCCTCATCGAGGATAATAATCTTATGACGGCCAGGAGGTAGCAGGATTTTGGTCTGAGCAAACTGTTTGATTTTGTTACGCACAACGTCGATCCCCCGATCATCTGAGGCGTTCAATTCAAGTGTAGCCTGGTTATATTGGTCCCCAAGAAGCTCTCGGGCAAGACAGTGTACGGAAGTTGTCTTCCCAATCCCGGGAAGCCCCAGGATGATCATGTGGGGCATGTTACCGTCGTGGGCAATCACTTTGAGCCGTTCCACTGTTTCCTCGTTGCCCACCACATCATTAAGCACCATCGGGCGGTACTTTTCCACCCAAGGAAGCTCAAGATTGGTGCTATATGTCTTCTCCTTGCTCATGAGTATCACTTCACCAAAGGTTGGTTTCAAGACGCGTACGCGAAAAAATAGGCTCTCCCTGAGACGTGTCCTACAATATAAAGTTGAAATGAAAAAAGTAGTGGTTGTAGAACTATGTATGCTACTTCATGATGGCGGTTTCCGCCTGTTTGAATGCTTCGGCGAGTTTGTCGTTGAAAGTCTTGTGCACCTTCTCGAAGGCGTCCAACTCCTTCTGCTCAGCATCACTCGGCTTCTTCAGCTTACACTTCTTCTGGAACTTCAGCTTGGTGTCGGCTCTGATGCCGGCCAACCCCGTCTTGCCCGATTTAAACTTTTCAAACTGTTCCTTCAATTGCTTGACTGCTTCCTTTTTCGTTTCAGTAGACACCGGCGGCAACGGCACCTTCAAAGTGTACTTATTAGTAGGATCGACCTGAGCATTCAAATTGAGCCCCAGACCAAGCACGGTATTGATGACGTGCTTGGCGTTGGCAGGATCAAATAAGGTGATGATGAAATTGCGCCCTTTGACACTGGTTTGCGCCACCAGGGTAAATGGCATCTCGCCATCACCCGTCTCCACCACGAGCTTGTCGAAGATCTTGGGGTTCGACTTGCCCAACTTGGCATCGTTGGCGGCCTTGCCAAACTTTTCCACCACTTGTTGGAACTTTTTGGTGACATCGGGGATATCTATGAGCGGGCCTTCCGCCGCCGCTTCGGTGGTGTCTTCAGCGGGGGCCGCGGCCTTTTTACCCCCCTTTTTCGCCTTCAACATCACCGGCGACGCATAGAATGTCCGTAAGGGGGCGTATCTAGTCACCACCGGTAAGCGTACGGTGCTAAGAGCGAGTTTAAACATCGATGGTCGGATGTGGGGAAGGTCGACTGATTTTCGCAACCGCTAGTGCGACCGTAAGATTTGTACTACAGATGAATCGTACGTAAGATTTGATGCCAGTCTAATTATTTTGCTTAAGGTCTTGTTCAAACTCAAGAATGCACAGTAACAAGTTGTTGGCCTCTCTACCAACCTCGCCCCCTTCCTTAATCATCGGCGCCACCCCACGCTTCATCGGCTCCATGAACACTTCGGAGAACACCCGCCGTCTCGTGTCTAAGTCTTCCGCCAGAATCAGATCAATGTCAGATAGACTGAGATCGGTCTGTGTCAGTTGTAATTCTTGCACGAAAAGCTTGAGTGGAGCGTACGGTTGCGGCGCATGAGGGATCATGTACCGGAACAGCTGAGGGTGGACGGTGACCACGGCACTCCAGTCGATATCTTTGGCCGACGTAACTTCGAAAAGCAGCAGTCGCAAAAACTTCTGGAGCACTTGGAGGTGAGGGATCCGGGCCTTCTTCACCGAGCCCCCTTGAGCACTACTGGCAGTGATAGCCAACCCCTTCTGGGTCTTATCGTCGACGAGAGTCCACGCCATCAACCCGAAGTAGTTTTTGAGCACCTTGACAAAGTTCTGCTTACTTAACAGTTGCGGGGCGTAATCAATTAAGATCTCGAGGAACTTTGACGAGTTGTTTCTCACTCGAGGATTAATGTGAGACATCGCCAGAAGCACAAACAAAACCACCAGGCGCATATGGAGATCCATGAGACCTGGCTGCTTACGGGCGGCAGTGGTCAATAATGCTATAAGCGGTTTCAGCACCTCGGGGTCAAGTATAAGCGGGGTCACCGAGGCGAGGATTTGTTTGTAAAGCGAGGGATTGTCGGGCAACAGCCCCTCCAAATTCTGGAGGACTTCCTTTCTCGTCGAGTCACTGTGGTGCTTGGTAAGGGAAAGCTGATGGATCAAGTCTTGTTCACTGGTGAGCCGCTTGCCGATCTGTTGGTTGAGGGTGATTGTTTTCGCTTTGAACAGGGTATCGGTATGGTTGGATGGCTTGGCTGCGGTCTTCCCCACTTTGAGTTTGGGTTTGACAAAGTCCTTCGCCTTTTGGGCCTTCTTTCGTTTCAGGGAGCCGGCCATGGCGGTGTAAGGGTTATCGGTGTGGGGGTAGGCGAGATGAGATGAGGTGCGATGAAGCGATAACCCAAATCTAGAAATACAGTGAAGAATTAATTTTTTATATTTGATTGATGTCTTTTGTTTTATAATGCTGTCAGACTATTAACAATCAGTTTCAATTTACCGGTATCAAGGTCATTTCTAGCGAATTGTTAGACTCAAAATATGTAAACAATGACATTACCACGTCGTCACGGCACTTATAAATTCCAAAAAGGTTATAGCTCATTTTGCAATGCCATAAACAACTCTTTCATTCTACTTTAATCTTTGATTGCTATCTTTTTCCTTACATTTGATATATCTTATCCTCGAGGCGATCGCTCGCTCGCGCCACCACCACTATGAGTGATGATGTCACCCAAATATTGAACTCCCTTTCGATCTCAAACCATGATGCTGACGATTACATGGATATAGATGACATGTTTGATTCCGTTGGTGTCAATACTGGACCAGATCACCATCATCTGACGGCGGAGCCCGAAGTGGAAGAGCCGCCCACACCAAGTCAACGCAAGCTCCTGTTGCTGACAATAACCCTGACAATCAAGCTGGCTCTCTCGCCCACTGAGCTTGGTGCCCGCATTGCCATGAAAAAGCCGCTTTTGTTGATGCCCCCGCCATCAGCTCCATCTCGAAGATCCCTGGTGACTGAGGTGGACACCAGCCAGGGGGTGGTCAGTCGCCGTCCAGGATATCACAATGAAGACAGTGACGTGGAAATGGAAATGTTATCCGCTCCAGCTGCAGCCAACCCGTCTTGGGGCACGTCTCTGGGAGTGTTCAACCCAATTTCTTTGAATAACAGGAATTTCGCCCCGATGCCAATGGTCCCCACTGGTGACTCCAAACACTACTTTGAGATCCACCACCATGTACACTACCTGGGCCAACAACAACAACATCAGCAACATCATCAACATCAACAACTTCAACATCAACATCAACAGCTCCAACATCAGCACCAGCAACTCCAACAGCAACAACACCAAGTCGTCCCCCATAATGGAATTTCTGCTACCACGCATGAGCGCATCACCCAGCCGAATCTTCTCCCAGTGCCGTGGTCACAGACTGCCGCACCTATCGATCCTACCTTCTACAAACTCTCCCTGTACGTACAGTTGGCATTCAACGTGATGATGGCGTTGGGGATCCTGGTAGTGGTGGGTGAGCTTATCCGCAGATTCCACAACGACGTCACTGCTCGGGTCGAGGCCCTTATTTCTGAGGCTACCGTTACTGTGGACCTATGCAATCAGCAGTATATTCGTGATTGTGTCGAGAGTAAAATTGTTCCTGCTACCCAAAAGTATTGCGCTGAGTTGAATCGCTGTCGACAACGAGACCCTAAGGCGGCAGCTCAATACACCTCGCAATTGGCCATGGTATTTGGTGAGCTATTGGCTCTGTTTGTTCGTCCGTTTGGTTTCAAGGTGTATGTGATGGTGTTTTTGGTCTGCTTGGCGTTTGTTGGCAACTTTGGCTTCGGGTATTTACGAGCCAAAACTTACTATGGCGACGTCGACGAGCGGGTAGGTGAACATACTTAAATCGAGCTGGTCTCGCATCTATCCCGCTGTGTGAACTTTAATTATATAGAGTAAATATTACATAAACGAACTGAGGAATCGTACCAACGTAGTATCGCAATTTCCAAAGATTTGGAAAAATTAATGAAAAATCAAAACCAAAATGCTAAGGATCAATTTAGAGAAGACGAATACACGTCTGAAAAATGGAAACCACGTGAAGAATAATTGAAACCAGAAGTCGTCCACTTCATAGCTACTCGTTATATTGCTTATTTACGACTGTAGCCGTACCAGACGCATCTCGCTATACATATAATTCAAATGATAGGAAAGAATCAAAGAAAATAATCTTGGAAAACTCATTAAGCGTTACTTATTATCTCAGACGGTGTTTTCATTCTCCTTTGACTATCATGATTTCATTTACTCTTTACTTAGTTAGTCTACATGGTAGCGCACCACAAGATATATATTTTCGAACCTTCGAGACTACAGTCACGTCTATGAACAATAACCAGATGAACCTCAACGGGCAGTTTCCTCAAGGGGGAACGCCCCAGCCCGGCAATCAGGGACAGCGACCTCAAAACCGTATCACCATTCAACCGCAACACATCCCTCGCCTCGTCCAGCTGATGAGGGCCGCCCAACAGCAGGCTCAACAAGCCCAAGACGAACCAACTCGCCAGAAACATAAACAACAATATGAAAAAATCCGTCTGATTTTACTACAATACCAACAACAACAACAAGCTGCGCAACGAGGCCAGAACCAGGGGCAAATGCCCGGTCAAGCCCCGGGTCAGATCCAAGGTCAACGTCCTCCGCAAAATCAACCACAACAAGCTCAGCAACAAAACCAAGGACAATCGCAATTTTCTATGAACCAACAGCAGATGCCGCAAAACCCTCAACAAGGTATGAATAACGGTCAGAACATGATGAGTCAACAGCAGCAACTCCAACAGATGCAAATGCGGCAACAGAACACTCAGGGCCAACAAATGATGCAAGGCAATCAGATGGCGAACCAAAACCATACCCAGGGCCAAGGGCAGGGTCAAGGTCAGGGCCAGGGAATGGGGCAACCTCAACGGCTCACGGTGCTGATGGAGTCGTACAATATGATTCGGCGTAACATCCAGGAGGTACAACAACGAGTGCGTATTTTGGAACAACGGAAACAGGCGAACCCGACTCCCGACCAGCTTGCTCAAATTGACCGTGATATTGCTGAGTGGAACATGCGCCTTCAAAAGTACCAGAGAATCGGGATGAATTTGAAGAATCAGTTGATTGCCCTTCGAACTCAGCAGCAGCAGCAGCAGCAGCAACAACAACAGCAACAACCACAACAACAACAGCAGCAACCGGGGAGCATGAATGCTGGTCAACAGGGAAACACCCCACAAGCGCCCACACCACAGATGCCGCAAATGCAACAGCACTCATCGCCGATGGTACAGCCGCTGCCGCTCCCACAAGCGCTGCCGATGAGCCAGCTGCCTGCTCTTGGTAACGGCCTGCCTCAATTCCACCCGGCGCCCGCTCCTCAACAAGCACGCCAATCTGCTCAACAAAGACAGAGCCCTCACATGGGACTTAACCAAGCGCCTCAGGGTCAGCGACATCCCCAACAACTTACTCAGCAACAGATTGCCCGGTTACAACAGCAGAGACAGGCGCAACAACGGCGTGGCCCAGCACAAGCCAATCAAGGAACCCCGATACCCCCAGGAACAATGCCGACTGGTCCCCAACCGCCACTGGGGCTGCCCTCGCGGCATCCATCGCAAGGACCTCCTCCTAGTCAACCACAACCGGGGCACCAATCGCCTCCTATACCCATGGGCATCCCTAACCCTCAGGCGCCAATGCCTCAACAACCACCTATCACGGCACCATCTCAAGCAATGGCCACGACACAATCACCGGCGCCCATGGCTCAACCTACTGCTACCCAGCTGGCAGTGGTTGCTCCCGGACGGACAAACACCCCTGGTCCGATGGTATCACAAGGGCGACTGGTTTCCCCTGCGGTGGCTGTTGAGGGCCAAGCTACCCCAGATAATACTGGTGATTCTAAACTGGGCACGGTGACCTCGCGCCGGGACCTGGTGAGTCTTGGGTCTCAATCGACGTCGGTACCGCTGATTCCGATTTCATCCACAATTAACGTGAAGCCGCCAGTGGCGGTGACGTTCAATTCGTTCACTGATGGACGCCCCACGATCACCGGAGGGGCGGCAGCAAGCTCGGGGTCATACTTACTGACGCCTGCCATTACCAAGTTGCCTACATTTGAGTTGGCTAGTTCTGGGCCAGGCGGCGCCTCGCTGCTTCCTGAGAACGGTCGCGTAATCAACAAGCGGAAGCTCATTGAATTGGTTAATACGATGGGGGTTGACGAAGGCGATGGTAAGACTCAAATTGATGGCAATGTCGAAGAAGTCCTTTTGGACTTAGCCGATGAGTTTATTGCTTCGGTTACCGGGTTTGCTTGTCGGCTTGCAAAGCATCGCAAGGCCAATGCTATTGATGCCAAGGATGTCCAGCTTCACTTAGAGCGCAACTGGAATATCAGAGTGCCTGGTTATGCTATGGACAAAATCAGGCTGACGAGAAAGTTGACTCCCGCCAACAGCTACAATCAAAAGGTGCAAGGCGTTGAAATTGCTAAGCTGGTTAGTGAACACATGTAATGTGCATAGAGATTTTCTGAATTGTGTAGTATTTACGAGTTAATGAAAGACAAGAAGTTAAATATGTTAGTTGATTGTCTAGACTGGGCTCCAAGTATCTGCGTATTTATGTATAGGAATGGTGGTCAGCATAGTGGCAAAAAGTTAGCTGCAGTGTTTTTAGGATCGACAAGCAGAGGTTCAGTTATCATTGCAAAAATAAACCCACGGCGGGATTCGAACCCACAATCGCTCGATTAGAAGTCGAGCGCCTTAACCATTGGGCCACGCGGGCGGATCTGTTTTAAAAGAGCACTTGGTAACTTGAGTTTGTTATTAAGAATGCCAATTCCGCGTTTCGGGCCCCACTTTACAGAATTCGATTTTTGAGCAAGCTAGTACGAAAGTTACAAAATGTCGCTTTTGGATGAGAGCCCTCAGAGAACCATCCCACCGCAAATGCAAGAGTTAGAATTTGGGTTAGATTTCCATATTCTCTAACAGACTACGAATGAAGCAGGAGAAAGTCGACCCTCATTCCGTGCGCTATGACAACCATCCGTGCATTTTTCTCGAGGTATGATAATCATCCCAAACACCATTCGTGTATATTTTTGTTTTGGATCTGGAAATTGTTTCACACGTTTGCGAGTGCTTTTCAGTCGCACGCGTTGGGTGACGCGCTCTTCCTTAGTGATGCTCAACCTAGATGAGTAAGTATACTGATTGCCATCGCCAGAATGAAGAAGACTAACGATTAGAACTATAGAGAACATAAAGCAATGCAAAATTATACCTGAGGCGGACGTGGAAGAGCTTTGCGCTCGAGTGATCGACCTTCTCGTCGAAGAGGCTAACATCCAAATGGTGAACACCCCAATCACTATATGTGGCGACATACACGGTCAACTCCATGACTTGTTGACATTATTCGAGACTGGAGGAGACTGTCCTGATACCCAATACCTCTTTTTGGGAGATTTTGTCGATAGAGGGTTTTATCTGTTGGAATGTCTCTTGCTCCTCATGGCACTTAAAGTCCGTTATCCCGACCGCATGACGTTGATTAGAGGCAACCATGAAAGTCGACAAATCACTATGGTATATGGCTTCTACGATGAATGTGTACGCAAGTACGGCAGTGTCAATGTCTGGCGTCAATGCTGCGAAGTATTCGATTATCTCCTGTTAGGCGCCATTGTGGGGGGTAAAAATGGGGTATTCTGTGTGCACGGTGGACTTCTGCCCGACATCGAACGTATCGACCAAATCAGAAACCTCGATCGTAAGCAAGAGGTGCCCCACGAAGGGGCGATGTGTGATCTTTTGTGGAGTGATCCAGAGGACGTGAGTGGCTGGCTGGTACTGCCACGAGGAGCGGGTTATTTATTTGGAGAGCTGGAGGTGAAGGCATTTTCTCACACAAACGATATATCGCTCATTGCCCGAGCTCACCAGCTTGTCATGGAGGGGTACAAAGAGATGTTCAACAATACGCTTCTGACAGTGTGGCTGGCCCCGAATTACTGTTATCGCTGCGGTAACGTTGCCCTGGTGTTGACCATCGATGATAATCTTGAGCGGGAATACAAGGTGTTCACCGCAGTCAACCAAGATGTCGTGGATGTACCGTCGAAGAAGCCAGTGGCGGATTATTTTATTTGAGCCGGTCTCAGTACATTCGTAACGCCGAGAAGGCCATCGCGCTGCGCCGAACAGTACACGTCATTAAGCTTTCGGTAAACAGACGCGTCTCGCAGAAATTTATAATCAAAATAGATTTACCATCCTCAATACACAATCACCAATTTTGAATTAACCCCAGGATGCTAGTCATGTAACTCTAAATTAAACCGCTCAAAAGCATGACCCACCGCAGTGGTTATTTATAGGCGTTACCAGGTGGTATCCGAACGGCGGGTGGCAACGATGCTGGCACTTCCGCTGCTTCGGAAAATCTCGTGCGACGACAATAAGCGAAAAACGCGCTGTCAAAATGAGGGCGATCCTGATATAACATCGAACGCGCAGTTTTTGTTTATATTTACCTCCATACACGAGACCCCGATGATGTAGCGCGGGTGTCTTGTAAAGGTGAAGTCCGAGGAAGCTTTCACGTGATGTCACAATCACCTTGACGACAGGGATGAACCTTAACGAGAGCTGCCGTTTCCACCATCTTTTCTTAGCGAAGGGGTGCAGGTGCATGCGCCAAGAATGCCACCACCCGGCAGATGAGATCATTCTCTTATCCCCAGGTACTTCCGTCGTGGCGAAGCTCAAGCAGCATGCCATTATGCTTTGACATTAGCAAGTGATCTACTTTCGTATATCCCACATTGTAGACGATAGTATCATGATACGTCGCTCTTCCCCTCCACGTAGTCGAGTAGAGTACCGTAAAGTAAATTTCGCAGGGAACGTTTCACAGAAATGCAGCAAGCCCGGTGTGGGTGTGCCAGTTGAGAAGCATTGCGACACACAAACGGAAAGCCGACACAGATATCGCACTCGCGACTGATACCTGATTACAACATTGGTTAAAGGGAAACAAAAGCGAAAAATGGGATAGGCTTACACGATGCCTTTAGTAGGCCAAGATAACATCACAGGCACTGGGTATCCGTTGATGATGGTTGCTTAAGGCGACCATTCCCGGCGCCGGAATCCTGCCGTATTTTCCCTCGTAACCTTATCAGACCTCGTGGTTCCAAAGCGCGCGACCGCCTATTTTTGGCTGCGTAACACCTTGCTGCATGATAATTGCAGCGAAAGTACCTGCCAGCTTGAGGTGAGTATAAATGAGGCTTCGTCGTCGCTGGAATTATCAAGGTTACCATGCAGCTCACCGCTGTCTTGTTAGCGTTGACTTTAGCCCACGCTCAGGTGGTGGTGGATGACCCGAACGCCGAGCCCCAGACCACAAAAGCCCTTCCTACCAGTATTTGGGTCACCGGTACCGATGCCAACGGCAACTTGGCCACCACGCTCTCCCGGTTCACCCAAACCTTCCGTCTGATGTGGGAGATTGAAGCCGTGCCACTGCTGGGCAAGATTGGTATGGGATCTATCCAAGGGAAAGTGGGAGAAACCCGCACCTACGATACCACTACCATCGCCGGAGCGGCGACGTTATTGAAGCGCTCTCTGGGAGAAACGTTTCCTATACAATTAACCCCTCTTTTGTGGATGACCCTCGGCTTGATTGCCGCCCTTGTCACCATTTGAATTCTGCATCAAATTCTCCTATTTTTTTTTAATTAGCATAATGAACGAGCATCTACGGTATCCCGATCATTGATTTTTTCTCTCGTACGCTCAGGGTCTTTTCTCCGATTGCAAAGCCTCACGGACCACAAAAAAGTGTGGCTCAGTACGATAAAAGTGCGGCGCTCCTACCTCTGTGTCAGGAGTACCGACGACGTGATTAACCGATCATGACCACACTCAACGATTTGCTCAAGCTGCCCCTGCTCACCCTTGAGAACAAGGGCCTGGTGGCACGGGACCACATGGCCAACGAACGGACCTTTTTGGCGTGGCTACGCACGCTGTTGCTGTTTATCACCATAGGGATCGGCGTCACTCAATTGTTCCGCCTCGAAGCGAAGCTGACCCTGGTCGAGGTTAACTACGGGGTGGTGCTTTTAGGAGACAAATCGACGATCATTGCACACTACGGGAAACCTTTAGGGCTGGTATTTATCGTGTTGGGAATCTTGACGTTGTTGTTTGGTTGTTGGCGATTCTTCCAAGTCCAGCATGCATTGACCGGGGGTCTATACCCAGCACTGCGTCTAGGGGTGTTGTTGTTAATTGGGTCGGTGTTCTTGGTGGTGTTGGTGACATTCGTCATGGTGGTTAAGGTTGTATAACAATTGATTATTTTGAGGCTGGATACTTGAGATAGAAATACTATACAACGTAAGACAATGACTTTTTTAGTAGGCGTCGTGTGCTGGACCAGCTGGTGGTAATCAGCACTGGGTTTTACCACGAGCAAGCGTCGTAATTGAGGCTCTATTTTGCGGGGTTGTAAATAGTGATAAATTAATAAGGCACAGCAAATTATTATCAACATAACCCCTACCCATGACGATTGCTAGCGATGGCTTCATCAATGGAAAGGAATCATGCGATATACATCCAGCACCATACACAATATTATTATAACGAAGGACTGCAACGTCACACATCTTTATGGGCCGTACAATTGTTAACTTTCAATGAAGGAGAGCTTCCTCTCTTTGTGACAGAACAGAGTAACTATTATCAAATTCAGGTATCTTTGTCGATGGCTTTATGGCTGCCATTTCAATCATGACTCCTCTCTGGTGAGGCTTGCCTAAAGCTGCTCAATTCTTACGCCACCGACAAAGACTCTACTAAGATGAAATTACCGATGATATAGCAACACTATTTAATAAAGATTAGAACTGCTTGATCAACATCGGCATCATTCTAAGTCAATTCTACAATCCAACCACACGTCACGTGAATTAGGGTTACAACCTTGAGTTGAATTTTTTCTTGCGTACACCCCTGTCGCCGCGCTACCGTGTGCCCGCGCGTGACATCTACGAATAAGAAAATTTTTTTGAGCTAACTACACATTTCGAATTCAAAATGGTATGTGAACCAAACCGCTGATCCGATGTTGAATCAAAACGAAACGAAAAATCAAACCCCCCTATGGTCCTTCTTCCGCTCAGAGACGTTGAGTGATCCATTCCAGGTGGCCATGCTGAGTTTTGCCACAGACCTGAAAAATTGTCCATCTTATTCGACATCGAAATCATTCCTCATGAGTTGACAAACAAAATACTAACAATATTAGGGTAAGGTCCACGGTTCTTTGTCGCGTGCTGGTAAGGTCAAGTCGCAAACCCCCAAGGTTGACAAGCAAGAAAAGCCCAAGAAGCCTCAAGGCAGAGCTTACATGAGATTGCTCTACACCAGAAGATTCGTTAACGTCACCTTGACCAACGGTAAGAGAAGAATGAACCCTTCGCCTGGTTCGCAATAAGCATGTTAATATAATGTACAACTAGTTATTTTGCGGTTATTGTAGATGAGGCAATGCTTGTTTGTATTAAGAATGGTATGGCCATGCTAAAGTCTATTATTAGTCTATTATTGTGAGGTACATCTAGTCCCATTGAGGAACTAAATAGTAAGCATATATGCGCAGACGAATTTCTACCGTCTCCGGGTCTTCGTCAAACATCGGTTTCCAGTTCACCATCTCGATCTTCTCCGCTTTGAGTTGATGTTCTTCGCAAGTGGTGAAGAACTGGAGATCGTCTTCCAAAAGCCACGGTCTGTGTGGGGAAAACACCACTAACGCCCGACCCGTGGACTTGAGGGCTTTACGGCATGTTTCAAGCAAGGCGTGGTGCTGGTTGTGGTTGAACACGACGTCGGAAAGAATACACAAATCGAACTTCTCGGCGTCAGTGAGTTCAGGCTTGTCATCAGTAGTGTCTCTCCCCACAAGCGGACGCAAGTCCTGACCCCAAATGTACCCAGTGACCAAATGAGGAGCAAGAGAAGCTTCTTCCTTGAGCATATCAAAGTTGGTCTGGATATTGGTAATCAAGTCGGCATCAGGGTAGTCAGTGCACACAACTTTAGTAGCATCGTTTAATGAGCATATGAGCGACGGTAAGCCGGCGGCAGCACCCACTTCGAGAACATGCTTACCCTTAACAAGGTCCTGACTGTGTTTGTCCAAGAAATCAGCTGTGTAAATGCCAGCATTCCACAACATGTGTCCCCAAAGCGGCAGCGACCCCACCAATCTGAGCTTAATCTCTTTGGGAGAGACGCCATCAAGCTTTCGCTGGTACAGAGTTTGATGAGGTTCAGGGGCAGGAGGCCGGAAGTCCTCTGGCTCTTCGAAAAAGGCACCGAACTCGTCGTCAGACATTCAAATGGTAAATAAAATAATCGTTCGATGAGATGAGCGCGATCACAATAGACGCCATGGATGGACCACACAACATGATCCAGTAATCATTCGTATGAAGTAAAAAGACCTTCTAATGACTAAAGTCAACTGTCACGTATTTCACTTTTGGACAACTAATATTCCAGAAGTTTGTGTTGATTACAAACGTCGAAATTATTACCAATTTTCTGACAAACTTCAGAAAAATGATATATGACTACACTAACGTTTAGTAATCATCGGCTTCAACCACGAAAGTCTATCATTTCACTCAAATGTCGAGGTGAAACTCGAGACCATCATCCAATCACACCGTGGTGGTTGTCTCCCGCTCCTCAGACAATGGGTGCGAGGCCCGACGTCCTGCACCCCCAAATTCGCGGAGAGTATAAAAACCTCAGAATTCCCCCGCAGGTTCCATTGCACACCAATACAACATGGACTACACGTTAATACCACACGCCTAAGATGACCTTGGGTAGGTTTTAAAACTAGTCACGATGATTCTGGGAACGAAGATGACCACTCTCTCTGCAGTATTGGCTGGGAATTTGAGGCGCACACGACCTCTATTGTATTTGATGTTCTCAGTCATTCAGGAAAAAATTTGCCTGAATTCCCATCTTTACCCTCGATACCCAGGCCCCCGTTGCACCTTTCTTCTTGCTCCTATCCATTACCACTGCTTCACAACCAGATTTTCACCACTATGACGACCGCCGCTCCTCCTACAGACAAGTTTGAAGGGGTTAATCTCAATATTACCTTGACGTGCCCCGACTGCAAACAATACCCCCCCGACCTCATCGAAAGATTCGCCGAAGGGGATATCGTGTGTGGCCTGTGTGGGTTGGTTCTTTCTGACCGGGTGGTGGACACTCGGTCGGAATGGAGAACGTTTTCTAACGACGACCAGAACGGGGTCGACCCCTCCCGTGTCGGTGACGCCGGGAACCCGCTTTTGGACAACGAAAACTTGCTGACGATGATCTCGTACTCCACTGAGGTCGGCCGTGCTGGCCGTGAGTTACTGCGGGCGCAACTGCGTTCAGTGGTCGACCGTCGTGACAATCAATTGTCGGCTGCGTTCGCCAAGATTTCGCAAATGTCCGATGGGTTCCAGCTCCCCAAACTCGTTCAGGATCTGGCGAAAGAAGTATACAAAATGGTTTACGAGGAACGTGCTCTTCGAGGTAAGTCTCAAGAGCTGATCATGGCCGCGGCTATTTTCATTGGTTGCCGTCAGTCACAGGTGGCTCGGCTGTTCAAGGAAATTGGCGCTTTGACTAACGTCCCGCTCAAGGTCATCGGGAAGGTATCGAAAATTATGACCCTGATTTTGAAGGAAAAGAGCTCCCTGAACCCCGACTCCTACCACATGCAAGACAATATCCAATCGACTCAAACGCTGGCCCTGGACTTGATCCGTCGTTTCTGCTCTCACTTGGGGGTTTCGACCCAATTAACCAACGGGGCCGAATACATGGCCAACAAGTGTAACGAATTGGGCATTCTTGCGGGGCGTTCGCCGACCACCATCGCGGCGACGGTGATCTACATGGCGGGGTTTGTGTTCGGTGCTGACTTACCCACGTCTAAGATCTCGGAAAAGACGGGGGTCAGTGAAGGGACGATTAAAACGTCGTACAAGGTCATTCTTGAGGAAAAGGAAAAGTTGATGGATCCGTACTGGATCGATCTGGGAAAAGTTAAATTGGAAAATTTACCAAAGTCATAAGCATAGAGAATTATTTTAGGTTATTTGTGGTTGTTCCTTTTGTTAGGTTACATCCATTGAGAGAAAGAGTAATTAAGTAAACGAGTTCACGATTCATAAAACTTTGTAACTTTGTAACTTCAATCTCTAAATCTGGCGATGAGTCCGTCGAAAGATCGCGCGCCGCACCCGTCTACGATATGGACCCATCTTCGACTGAGCTCGAATGGATTGCGGCGTCCACCGCGTTATTGCGGTCTCCGGACGACCTAGAGCTATGGAAAAAGCTCACCCAAGTATCCCTGGACAAATTGACAAAGGCATCCCCCGCGCAGGACGTGGCCCTTGCTCGTCAGCTGTATGACCTGCTTCTCGAACGTTTTCCTCTATTATACAACTACTGGATCCAGTACGCCGAGTTGGAGCTTCGGATTGGCAATACCAAGCGAGCGGAGCTGGTATATCGTCAAGGACTAGGTAAACTCCTGTATTGTGTGGAACTTTGGGTTACCTTTCTCGAATTTAAGGTGTCGACATTAACCAATAACCTTGACGAGTTATTCGAGATGTTTGAGATGGCTCGAGGCAAGATTGGATACCACTACCACGCCTACGAGTTCTACCGCCTATATCTCGATTTCTTACAGCATTATGGCTTTGAAAAACAGTACTACGTCCTATTGCGCATAGTGCTTGAGGTGCCATTATACCACTACCTGTATTTCTTTAAAAAGTGGTTTGACACCATCGCCCGGTTCAACCAGCTTGAAGGGACCGACCGTGAGCATTTACTCAACTTGGTGGTGCCAGCATCGGAGATGGAAAAAGCCAAACGCTTCGACAACAAACAATTGGTGATGTACCTCAAAAAGTACTTTGTCGACATGTACATTGCTACTCAGTTTCGAGTGTTTGAAGTATATCCGCTTGAGAAAGAGCTTGATAGACCATACTTTGATGTTGCCCCTCTCAGCAAACAACAGTTAGATGCATGGGAGGCGTATACCACGTTCGTTGAGTTGCGAAGTACTTCAGAGGCGGCGATCACACTTGCATACGAAAGAGCAGTTGTGGCTACTGCCAGTTATCCTCAACTATGGCATCAATATCTTCGGTGGACTAAAAGTCGTCAGCGGCGAATGCAAATATTACGACGTGCTATGCGATATTGTCGGGATCCTGTGTTTGTCGTTAAACTAGCCGACGAGTACGCTCAAAGACAACAGTTTTTAGCCGCCCGTGATGTCGTCGTTGAGGCAATCGCTCACAGCTCCGACGTTCCGTTCATGTGGTACGAACTGCTACTTCTGTTGGAATGGAGTATGAGCGCTAAAGACAAAGATGCTGAGTCTTACTGGCGAGGCATATTTGAGGAAATAATTGCCACGACTAACCTGGATTACTGGTTCATTCATATGCTCAACTATAGTGTCAGCAAAGAAACCAAATTCGCTATACTTGAGCATTACGCCGCTGACTTTGGATCGCGGCCACTTTATCAACGAGCTCGGTCTACACTTGACGGCCCCCCAGCCCCGCCTACTTATGATGAAATGATTGCAAAATATCTTTAATACGTTCATTGTCATTAATTCATAATGTGGTGAGCGCCACGCCTTCGATGGCGATGGTGATGAAGTACACCACGAGGAGGATCAAACCTAATCGTCTGTCAAAGCGCCAATTGTTCCCTCGTAAGTACAAATACAAACACGGCATAATCATCACCAACAACGACGAAACAAACACCACCCGGTTGTGTAAATGGAACTCGAACCACAGTTGGCCCCTTTGGTATAAAACAAGCAACCCATTGAGCCCCACCCCCAACGAAATGTTGAGCATGGGCGTACCGAGACATGCGTTGACCCCATAGATGGGTTTATGATACGCCAAACTCAAATTGGTAATGAGGTCGTTGAGACTGTTACTAATGGAGAACACAAGGAGACCCAAAAGGAATTCCAGAATGCGCCAAATCAATCCAAGGTTCTTGAGCACCTGTAAGATTTCTATCAGAATGTTACTCATGATCATGAGAGGAATCGTCACTCCCGCCATAGCAACCACTATGTTATTGAGTTTTTCAGGGAGCCAACGCCCACAGACTTCTACCACCAACATAGCTGCCACAATAATGGGGACAATGATCTGTGGATTCCACACTTCAAAATACTCGTAATCTAGGATGATGACGGTCATGGCCGTGAGCCAATGTTTATGCAATGGACTATTCACAAATCGTTCTTTGATGGAAAACAACGAATGCACTTGCAGTGGTTCCACCAATGGGATGAGGACTGAAAGACACAAATCGAGCGAAGCGACGAACATCTCCATTGACGTGAACGTCTCGGTATCGAGGTCAGGTTTCAACGGCACCGACCCGTAATGGGGGAGTTCCTCGGTACCCTCGGCAAGGTCCTCCATTTCGTCTTGGAACTCTTCGATCTTATTCTTATCGAAAATGTACACCAGGGCCACATAGACGACGTAGATCGAGGTGAGACCCCAACACTCGCCGCGGGTGATCTTGCCGTCACTGAGGACGAGGGCAAACACCACGATCACCACCCCAACAGCGGTCATGTCGATCGTTAGCAGTTTTGGTTGGGTGACGGTGAACGGGTAAACGAGGGCGATAAGGCCGAACACCACTGTAAATAAGATGGTGAGCGACCCCAGAAGCTGGCCTACCACCAAATCTGGGCTGTTGGAGTTGAAAGCGATATAGTACAGGATCAAGTCGGGGAACGAGTTGCCCAAGGGGACAAGAATGAACAGCATCACCTCCTGGTTGACCAGCAACACGCGGGCAATGTACTCTAGGTTGACCAACATGTAGTTCAGCACGATGATCAGCATCATCACACACACCACTGCAATCAGGATCACGACGAGGGCGCTGACTCCAAGGAGCATCGGCCACCCGGCGTGGCCGCCACAGTAGTAGAATGCGGCGATGTCGTAGAAGCCAACATCACAGTGGTTGCGGATATATTCGCAGGCGGGGGTACTGGGCGGGAGAATACATTGCTCGCTCATAGAAAGGGGTCGATCTGGTGGTGGCGGGGTGGATCGGTATCTGGTTGCTGTGTCGACCGGGCAGCAACTGCGGAGTGTATATAAGTGCTTCGCTACGGTGAGAGCCGCCGCCAAGTGGTGATACGGCGCCCTTAATTCTCAAAATCACCACAAAGTGACTTCGGCCCAGGTACCGATGGCGCTGATGGCCCTTTTGTGCCTGGTCCGATCCAGACCGTCCTACATGCATGATCGCTAGTGGGAAACGTTGGGGGCTTTGCATGACTATGTACCTGCCCCACTCATTAGTTTTTCTCTAAGCTATTCTTGGTGGCAACGGGAGTGCGGCTGTGGCAGGGCTCTTACACCGACGTGCGATACTCGAGGTAGGGCTCACGAGCCAACACTTCCTGCGCGATGGTGATATCGGTGTTAATGTCCTTGATCAACGCCTCTTTGGTGGTATAGTCAAGCTCGGGACGGATGTAGCCCAACACCAACCCCTGGATGCGAGCCCCGTAAAAATTGTGGGGGAACTTGTGGATGATGTGGACCTCGGCCGTCTTCTCCTGGTTGTTGTAGTAAGGATTGTACCCGATGCTCATCACCATCGGCAACGCCTGGTCGACCTCGTCCGCGGCCAAGTCGTTCCCGTAGTTGAAGCTGACGGTGTTGCCGTCGTCGCGCTTCACCTGGCACTCAGGGTGGTCGACTTTGGTGAGACGACACCACCCGTAGTAGATCCCCACGTCTAACTGGTTGAGGCCGTCGTTGAGGTTGACGTTGGCGGTGGGGATACCGAGCTCGCTCGACCCACGACCAAACCCACAGACAATGCTCAGGTCAAACGCCACCGGGTACGGCGCCGCCACTTGGTCGGGAACCACGGTTTCTGGACGAGGCATCTGGTGGGGGTCGGTTTCGGTGCCGCTCGCGGTTGAAAAAAGTGAGACCCTGACTGACACCTTACTAATGGCTACTCTAAATGATAATTGAAAAGGAGATAGGGTTGTTGATCGTGTAAATGACATTCACTAGTGGCTATTCTTTTCAGTAGAATATATTTGCAGCCCTGGCTAAACGGTTGTAAACTTTCACATATCAAAACTCTCCACATTGAATTTCGTCAACACTGTCTGAACTATGTACTTTTTGATGTCTTAGTAGAATCAATTTTGATGTGTTTCACTTGTCTCTCGCACTGCTTAATTGTGGTCGCTTGATATCTCTCCGCATATGGATAAGCTCGACCTCCATCGCGAGCAGCTTCGAGATCTGCCGTTCTTTACCGAGACTAAAGAGGCTTTTAAGGGTGAAAAATTTACCCATATTCGATGTCTAGCCCTCGGACAACCCACCGCTAGTTTCCAGGCTCGATACCAGCTCGCTTACCTCTTAGAGCTTGCCGATTTTCTTAAAGTGGAGCCATCAAATATCAGCCACTGGGATCCTGTGTTCGATGAAAACGACACCGAACTACTTGTGAAGCAGCTTGGACACCGTGTTGATGAAGTGTATGACGTGCCTACGGGTCAAGTGCTCTATTTCATGCCTCACGCCGAATTGACGATGACTAACGACATCTTGAAGCAAGAACAACCTCGCTGGTTATTAGCGAATAATATTGTTCATCACACTGATCGCTACACAAAGCAGAAGCTTATGGACACGTACCCGCTAATTGCTCACATCGTCCACGCCTTGGAGTCATCAGCGCCTAACGATAAGAACGAGGACAAGAACGCATCTTCAGATGGATTTGAGCGGGTGGCACCGAAACGGCGAAACCGCAAGCAGTTCGTTCCGCAACCGATAACCTACAATTTCGATGAGTACCACTTCAACGGAGCGCGTCAGACTCTGTTTACCCACAACCAGCTCAAGCTGGCGGTGTGGCAGAATTCGTTTCTGGACTTGCTGGTGCTCGAGCTCACCCCCTAATAATTATTGACGAAGAAATGATAAGATGTTCCATATAATACAGTTACTTCAACCGGGGCTTTTTCATTGCCGGTTCTGTAGGGTTGCCGTTGGTGGGTCCCAACGGCGCCGGGGTCAGCGCCGCCGTCGGCGGGCCATCCAGCCGCTTTAACAAATGCTTTTCCAATATACAGTAGAGGTCGTCCTTGGAGAATGGCTTAGCCAAAATGTCCAGCATACCATTGTTCAAATAGTTCACCAAGTCGGTATCCTCAATGTTGCCCGTCATGGCGATGATCGGGGTGCGGGTGTCAAAGCTGCGGATGATCAGGGTGGCGGTGGCCCCGTCCAAGTTCGGCATGACAATATCCATAAGCACAAGGTCGAACTTCGTCTCCTCCACCGTCGAGATGGCGTTAAGCCCGTCGGTGACCACCGTCACCTCGCACCCGTACTTGACGAGGAACTTGCGGCACAACTGAATGCAAATATTATCGTCCTCGACAAGTAACACGTTGAATTTAGCTTTGGCGTCGAGGTGGACTCCCGGCTCCACTTTAGGTTCCATCAACACCGGCGCCGACGCCGGGGTGGCTACTGGAGGCGGTACCGGCGGCGCTGGCATCGGCCCGTGGGGCGGCATCGGCGGCTGAGGCATGGCTCCCGGAGCAACCACCGGTGGTGCCATTGGTGGCGGCGGTCCCACTGGCGCGACTGCCGCTCGCGGCGGCGCTTGCATACTCACCAATTGAGGGTTGGGGAAGTCGAGCGGGGGGAGTTTTATCCCATGCTGAGCTAGCGCGTCGAGCAACTGGGCCATCGATCGGAAATTGCGTTCGTTGACGGTATTGACGGCGACGATGTTATCAATCACCGTCTTGTATTTGTTTTCTAATATCGTCACCAGCTTATGAAGGTTGAAGTTTTCGTGCTTCAATTGCTCCACTTGCTCTTTAAGCAGCGCCACAAGCTGGGGCTGGCCATGACAGGTATGGGCGATCCCCTCCGGTGGGATGACGGTAGCCATGGCCTTGCGGGTGCCGGGCCCCTTGCGCTTGATGTTTTCTAAGGTTTCTCGTTGGTTCTGTCTAAATTCGGGGTGGAAAAACTGCCAGGCATCGGGGCCGTAGGGCAGCGGGGCGTCTTCGTTGGTATTTCGTTTTTTCTTCTTGAACAGGTACTTGTTTAGTTGGCGAACGAACAGCGAGAAGTTCAGATGCTTGAAGAAGTGGGGCAAGACGTTTTTGGTGAACTCATTGGTGTCGATGACGACAAACGAGTCTCCCTCCTGGGTCCAGCGAACGACGTCGCCGTACTTCAGGTCTTCGAGCATCTCGTAGAGCTTCTTGACAAAGTCGTTGCCGTGGCCGCCGGTCAGCTGCGACTGCAGCGGCGCCTTTTCGTCGGTCAGCATTGCTCCTGAAACAACAGAAAAGTTACACTTTGGCCAAACTCACAAGCAAACGGTCCGGACAGGCGACAGGGATCGTGGGGACACTTCGACAAGATTAACCGTGCAACTCTCACCCTCAGTTTTTCCACCGGTCGCACACACACCCGTGCTACACTTCATACTCGGCTATGAGCCCTGCGTGTCACACTTCAAGGCTCTCCCGAGATGGGCAGGGGCTCATGCTGGTGGCTTAAACTTCTTGTATAGACCAGCCAGCAGCAATAGCCAGTGTTAAGCGGAAGGCTTGCGTAAGCGAGCAGAAAAAGCCCTGCCATTATTGCCAGTTTTACCCGGGCTTCCCTTTGCGCTACAATTGCCTAATGCCTACTCGTATATCAGACATAGTTCGTCGAGACCAAACCAGTGGTTTGATTTGTCATTTGCAGTCAACCTCCGACGGACTTCGCACGTGCCAACGTCGGCAAGAAAAAGCGTAAAAACCTACAGACTTAACCGCGTCGCTGGAACCAAACGCACGGTGATGGTGTGGTTCGGTGCTCTCACCCCCAGGATGGTGGCCCGACGTCCTAGGTTGGATTTCGGCAACTGCGTTCCGAAAACCAAAATTGCTTTTTTCCCTCGTTGCATTTAAGGGTCTCAGGAGATATAGTCACACAATAGTGGACCCCCCTACATTGGCATTCAGGCACGTTATACATACATGTACATGATAAGATGATTACGCTAAAGCTCGTCAACAACGTCTCGGGAAATCGTCAACGTCATCGATTGGCTGATGGGGTGATGGGCGGTGATGGTCATCACCAGTCCGTCAATGACGTAGTGCGTGTCGGCACCGCTGTCGGCCGACACCAGGCTGACATCAGCGAAGCCTGAAGCCAGCACAACTTGGATCTGGTCAATCTCTACCATCGCCGCAAGCTGTGCCGAGTAGTTGGCGTCACTCGAGTCTTGGGACACCACGTCAACGGTGATGGCCAGAGCGGTAGCCGTCACCTCCAACTCGAGGAACTCGCCTTGTTTATATGAGAACAGGTGGCCGTCGTCGATGTACAACCGTCCGTGGGCATTGCCGTTATCGTCGACCACAATCGTGAGGGTGTAAGGGTCCTGGGCCATAAGCCGCGTCAGGCGCCGGTATCTCCGCTTACGGAAAAACGCCAGGCCTTGGCGAACGACCATGGGAATCGAAGTGATGGGGGCACCGATAGTAGCAGTAGTACCGGGTTGATACACCTTAACCAGCAGACCAAAGTCACCATCAGTATAATCGATATACTTGTGTTGGCCTTGAGGGATGTACATCTTCACCTTATTGGCACCAGCATCCATCACCGGTTTAGCCATGATCCCCAGGTCGCCAACAAAGAACTGGTCTTCAATCTCCATCACGGCGTCGTCGTTGACCTCATAAAACATCGGCTTCACCACCGGTACCCCTGTGAGCGCCAGCTGGTGGAATGCAGTGTACCAAATGGGAAGCATTGAGTACCGCAATCTGATAGCGTTTCTCATGGCGTCGGTGTAGACGCCTCCTGCCACCCACGGCTCCCGGCGACGAGTGTCAAGATGAGCATGTTGTCTCATAAACGGGTAGAAAATAGAGGTTTGGAACCATCTGGTTAATAACTCGGGCAGAGGGTCGCCGAAAAATCCACCAATGTCAACACCCACGAATGGGTAGTTAACGACATTATGCGTTAACAACATCAGCACCAGGGTTCGCAAGTGTTCCCAAGTAGGGAGATTGTCACCAAACCACATCGCAGCCGTGCGCTGACTGCCAGCGTAATACAGCCGAGTCAAAATGAAGGGACGTTCATCGCCATCATTGATGGTCAGGTAGGTAGCTTCATGAAGAGTAAGCCCGTAAATGTTGTGGATGGAGCGATGCTCCCAGTTGCCAAAGTGCAAATTATCTTTAGGGGCGGTGGTTTCTGGTCCATCAAACACACTTGGCTCGTTCATATCGTTCCAAAAGTGAACGTTTTTAGTGGTGTAGTTGCTCAAAAACCGTTGGTATTGGAAAGCCCAGAACGCTCTACCTTTGGGGTTAAGCGTGTCCACCCACACCAGCTCACCGGGCCAACAGTGACCCTTGAACGTTTCACCCTTGCTGTTTTTCATCTCCAGGCCATCGTCAATGAGTTCTTCACTGGCGAAGTAGCCAGTGGCAAGATGAGGGTCGATAATCACAACCAAGTGGCGCCCAATACGATCAAGCTTACGGGCCATTCTCCCCGGGTTGGGGAACTTGTCTTCCTGCCACGTGAAGTAGTGCTTGCGGTCGGCATACTCAACGTCCAACCAGATAGTATCATAAGGAATGCCATGCTCATCAAACTTGCTGTTGATATCGAGCACGTCAGCTTCATCGTTGTAGTTCCACCGACATTGATGATACCCCAACAGGAAAAGCGGCGGCAACATGGTGTTGCCCACGACTTTACCATATTGGCGGTTAACATCAGCAACTTTCGGCTCGATAGTGACGATAAAATCAACAACACCATTTTCCAGCATGAAATGGGTGTGCGATCCTTCGTCATTGTAGTCAATATCGACCCAGGTATCAGCAGCGTTAACCCAAAAGACCCCAACCGACAGAGACCCAGGAGCAATGACGAAGGGAATCAGACCGTACATGGGCAAACGCGACGACGTTTCGTATTCGAAGATGTCAACGTTGTAAAGACGGAAGGGTTCACCGCCTTTGGTCAGCGGAAGTCTGAATTGGTCGGAGTGTTCGGGGATACCGTAAAGGTGATGATGCTTTTTGAATTGGAAGTCGAGGGCAACCAGTTCGGGACCAACTGGCACCAGGTCAGCCGCCAGATCCTTAAATGAGTCCAGGAACAAATCAAAGTCCAATTCTTCAGCCATGAGGTTGCCGTCTTCGTCGGCTTCATCCTCTTCCCGCCAGTGTTCGATATTCAAGTAATTATTTTCATTAACTGAAAGCTCGAGTTCACCGTCATAAAAGAAGTTAATGACAAACTGAGCGAGATCGATTTCTGCCCGCAGATGTTCACCATACTCGATGACCAATTGGTTCTTTTGCACCTTGGCCAGCTTAAACGCTTGCGTCTCCACTTGACCCCCATTGAAGGCCCATTTTCCCGTCTCATTGTATCTGCGAGGGTTCACCAACCCCGTCTCTCCCTGAGCCAGGGAACGGTCTTCATCGATAATCACGCGTAATTGATTACCCACAATACCGTGGATGGAAATGGGGAATGCTATCAGGTGACCCGGCCATTTTTTAATCAATTGGGCTTCGACCTTGTCGGTGGAAATAGAGATCGACTTAGGGTCGATCGCGTAGTGGCTTGTTGACACGTGGTTGGCGTAGTGTCTTTGACGAGTACAGAACCCCAGCTGGGCACACGTCTTGAAAAGCTCGTGTTTGACGGCCGTCACCGCCAACACGAACCACGCTAGTACTACCAATTTCATGGGGCTTGGCGTGTGGATAGTATATACCGTTGATGCACGGTTGAGGGGGTGAGGGGACCGCGCAGCGCTACCATGACGGTGTCGACGCCTGCCCACACTTGGTAACCAAGTGAGACGGGTCCTCGCGTCTTTATATGTGGGGGGGCTAATATCGACGTTTGACAGTTCCTTACGTCTTCAAGTATCTTGGGGTAGCTATTGTCGCTGCTGCAGCGATCCCGTAGCATTGGCAACCGGCACCCTCTCTACGGCACCTGGTAACGAGAGGTGCATTGACGACGACGCCAGCGAAGGTTGACGGCTGGTCAACGGTGGCAAATCTGCTTCGCTTGCATTGACGCCCTCAGTCGTCCATACAACCAACCTCGATCTCACCGGTTGCATATCCCTTTCGGCTGCCCTAGCGCGACTGAGCCAACTCTGTTTACCAACATTAGGTGGCAACCCCTTGTCTGGGGTGGTGGCAATTGGTTTAGGGCGTATTTTCGTAGCGCATTCGGTAATATCTGAGGTCGTGGTGGCTGGTCATATCGGTGAGACCATAACACCGGGATGGTGTCGACGACAGAAAAAAATTAGAAATATGGGGGGGATTGGCTAGTAGCGACGTAAGCGTCCTGAATACAACATATCACATCCATGGAAAGATTTGGCTGGCACGGTATCGGTTAAGGGGCGCTGCTACGGCTGCAGTGGAAGCGAGTGCACTCGCCTCGACTTTCCTTCCGGCAGTACCGAAATGTCTAACCTAGATATGCAATGCTATTTACAAAAGTCTATAATTTATCCTGACGCTGCATGAGCTTGAGCGTCCGACCCAACGCCCGTTTTGCTGGTGTCGCCTGACTCAACCACGCCAAGTCCAGTTTTGACGCCCCGTTGAACCCCTGCTGCTGCTGGTAACGCTTAATCTCGCTCACCAAGCGGTACACTACCCGCGTATGCATTTTAAACCCGGGGTGGCGAGCCTCGACCTTCGCAACCACCGCCTCCACCCATTTGAGCCGTTCAGGCACACTGAGCTGGGGCAGGGTGATGAGCCCCATCAAAATCTCCTGAATATGATAAAGCGGGATGGTTGAGTCAGCGGCTAATGCAACCAGAGCTTTGACAGTGCGCTGACTCATCATCCGGAGTGCAGCCCCAGCAAATACCCGGCTGGGAAGCTTGTACTCAGCAAGAATGTCGCGCATAATGTATAAGCCTCTCGACATTTGCTCGACTCGGAGACCAATATGGTGGCAGAGGTTTTGATAAACGTAGCGCTTCCCGAACTGCATTTCCGAAAGCCACCCAAACCGGTCCAGGTACACGTAAGCAAATAATACTTCCATCGCTTGACAAAATAGGCGCGGCTGCGGGCAAAGTACGGAAAGAGCGCCGCCAAGCTTGCTGAGGGCTCGCTTGAATGCCGCACGATCTTGAGGCAGGGCGTAGAGCCAGTGTTTTTGAAAGTCCACCTCGTTTGTAGCAATCACCGTGAGCCTATACGGCTTCTTGTATATCTCCACCGGATTAAATTGCAGTTTGAGATACTTTTCAAAGATAGGTACAAGAAATTGCTCCTCCACCAACCCATGGTGGTCCAAACCATGCCTTAGCGCTGCAAGCAACACCGACGGCTTCAAGTCGTCGAGGTGAGCAAGACCACGATAGATCGCCGGGGCATCGTCACGAGCATCTATCGCTTCAAACACGTTGTCATGGTGAATTGACAGCTTGAGGATGTCCCCTAGAATCGCTATCCCCAGTTTCTGAGTGAGCAAAGGCGACACAGTGATGAATTGACAGATTTTGGCTTCGCCATCAGCCATCAATGAGGTTTTGGCCACAAGTTGTTTGGCTAGTTTGTCCAGGGTTACTTTAGTAAGTAACTTACTGATGTGGTCGGCGTCAAGGGTATCAAGAGTGAGTTCGTTTGACTCTATCAAGTGTTCAATGTCGACGGGATTGCCTTCAGAGTTGACCATTTTCTGTACAAGTTGGGAGACAATCAGCTTATCCGGCTGATCCACGCGTCGATACACTTTCCAAAGCGTGCCAGGGTCAACGATGGGCATTGCCTTGAGAATGTCGTTAGTGTTCATCTGAACATTGGCGTCAAAATCATACCCATCAATCAAGTGATTTTCCAAAGATAAGTGACTCAACCACCCTGGGTAGTGAGTGATGTGGGGGTATTCACTGATCACTTGACCCACGTTAAACTGGGGAGGGGCCATGTTGAGAAGATTCCGCAAATACACCAGCACGACCCACCTGTGGGCGCTGTTGCTGAGCGAGTGATCCTTCCAGCGAAGCAAGTCCATCATCAGAGAGACGTGACCAAGGTTCTGGTGTACCACCTGTGCCTGTCGGAATGCATCGGCCTCTTTACTGTAGCTCATGGCCGTGTCCATTACCACCTCCAGAAACCGCTCGGGAAACCCGTCCTGGGCAGCCATCACAAAGTAAAACCAGCCGTAGGCGTGGTTGTCCTGGTTTTTTAAATAGGTAAATGCCATTTCCACAAAATCATCGACATCGGTGAGATCAGTATAGTGATCAAAAAATACCTGCCAGCAATCGGCATAGCGCTGGTGAAATAATAACCGCTGGTACAAAAGCCGCCGGGTTTTGTCGTCAGAGTCTCGCGCTTGCTCAAAACATTGAATATAGAGCTGGGGGTCGATGGAGATGGGGTTGAAGCTGAGGAGCTGGAATAGTCGATTATGGGCGTCGAGACGCGATAGCAGGGCGAGTTGTGGCGGCGAGCTTGCCGGCACGACCGAGGAATAGTACGCCTTGGGCACCCTCCACCGAGCCCAGCCTCGTCGTAGTCGCCACATCCTCCTCTGCAGCGTCTGGCAAAAAGTGGGGCGCGTGCGATGTGTGGGTCCGTTCGGTCGGTGCGAAGCTGATGATGAAGCTAATTCGATCAATGAGAGATCAAATTTGAATTTGGGACTATCCGAATTTAATCAGTGATATATGTAGTGATAGTTTTCATATTGAATCGTATCGGAAAAGGTACTGTTTCATGCTAGTAGTTCTACATTAATTGTGACGCGTTTCCATGATGAAGTGATAAGTCATTAATTTATTCATAAATATACTCCAAAGCTATAGATTTGCTTCGTATTAGGCGGCAGCAGCGGTTTCGTATTCTCTCAAATCGATCGTCGCCGTCTTCAGCAGGTGAACTTCTTGTTCCCGGTAGATACCGACCAACGCCTCCAGCTTGTCGTAAAACTGTGGCTTCAACGAGATGACAATGAATTGAACATCAACACCAGCGTGTTCTCGGATATACTTGGCGATACGTCCAACATTTTCATTATCCAACGCCGCATCGATTTCATCCAACACAAAGAACGGTGCCGGGCGCCACAGCTGAATGGCAAACACAAGCGCCAACGCTGCCATAGTCTTTTCACCACCCAGAAGCAATTCCATATCTTTGAACCGTTTCATCGGTGGCATTGCGTGGAACTTAACTTCTCCGAGATAAGGTTCGTCATCATTTTCAACAGTAAGGTACGCCTGACCACCAACGCCATCTACCAGCGCAAGTTCCTTGTAGATAGGGTCAATGTTGGCCAGAATCACATTAAAGGCCTCCATAAACCGATCAGTACGTTCCTGTTTGACTGCCTCAAATTGTTGACGAATACGACGCTCTTTTTGGCGTGCCTTTCCGTGGTCAGCATCAAAGTTACGCAACTTAGCTTCCACTTCCTTCAAGCGATCACGAGCCTTAGCGTTGGGGGTCAACTTCTCGAGAGCCTCAGCAATCAGTTCTACCTTCGCTTGGAGCGTCGCTTCGTGCTTGAGACTGTAATCCTCTTCCTTCAAATCGTCCGGGAGGTCTTCGTAGTCAATGACAAAGTCATAGGCATCACCAGCGAGATCTTCTAAGCTGCCATCGCCATTCAAGTAGTCTGTAAGCTCGCCGTCTTCAAGAGGAATGTTGACGTTCTCCAACTTGGCATTCTTCAAGAGACTTACTCTTTGGATATCAGTGGCATTGATGGAGTCGTCAACTTCAGCCACCGCGGCCTCAGCAGCGGCTAACTCCTCAGTATACTCGCGCCATTCAGTCTCAGCCTGCTTACTTTGTTTCAAAAGCTGCTGCTGAACTTTAGCGGCATTCTTGTTTTCATCTTCTGTAACTTCGAGCTCGGCACTAAGAATGTCCAATCGCAGGTCAATTTCTTCAAGAGTCTTCAAGCACTCGTTGAGTTCCTCTTCGAAAGTATCTCTTTGTTCACGCAAGGCATCGGCCCGCAGTTCGAGTTCACTTACCCGCTCTTCTTCGAAGTTGAGTTGCTTCGTAAGGGCAGCGATGGCTCTAACAAATCCCACCTTCTCCTTCAGACGTCCACGAAGAGTTGCCCCCGTAGTACGCTCGTACTCATCAATCTGAATGAAACCATATTTGCGGCAGAAGTCGCCATACACCTCTTCCTGGATAGAAGCTAACCGACCACTCAATTCCTCACGACGTTGGTCAATCTCATCCAATTCTTCTTGGTATCGAGTGATTTCAGCCTCCAATTCTCCAATACGACTACGGTAATGTTCAAGTTCAGTTTGACGATCTTGTAGTATCCGTTCGGCCTTCGTCTTTTGTTGACGCAATGGAGTGAGTTGTTCGTCAAGAGCGGCGATTTCCTCCGCCAACTGCGACAATTGGATTTCCAGGGGTCGTCTCAGGGTAAGTTCCTTGAGATCAGCCATAAGTTCTTCCTTACGTTCGGTTAAGGTAGTGATTTCTTTCGCATCCCACACACGAGTGGCAGTCGCCAGCGCTGCCGGTACCCCACCCGTCATGTAACCCTGAGAATTGATGACTGCCCCTTCCGCTGTGACCAAACGATTACGAAGAGGGTGCTCGGGGTCTTCCCATTTGAGAGTGGTTGCTTGAGTAATGGTTTCGACGATTAAGGTATCACTCACAACATAGTTAACCACCAGTTCGAGCTTGGGATCATCATAAGACACCACATCTACCGCGGGAGTGGTGTGAGGATGGTGACGCCACTGCGACACGTTGACGGGACTGATCACCAACGAGTCAAGCGGGATGAACGTCATCAGTCCGAGACGTCTTTCTTTGAGAAGCGACACCGCCTTATAAGCCGTAGCTGCCAGTTTGACCACCACAGATTTTGCCTGAGCACCAATTACAGTTGCAAGTGCCACATCCCACTTTTGTTGAGTAGGGCGAAGAAGATCGGCTACCGTCCCCAACACATCTCCAGGGAAAAGCCGTTTGAGAAGAGCAATGTTCTCCATAAAGCGACGGTGGGCCTCACTTTCACGTTGGGCCAGAGTAACTTCGTCTAACTTGACAAGCGTTTCCTTGAGATCCAGCTGCAATTTGAGCTCGCGGAGGCCAATAGACTCCTTGGTGGAGACAAGCTGGGCGCGAGTATCGTTCTTCTCCTTCTTTTGAGACAAGATATCAGCGATTTGCAGTTTCACTTGATTGAGTTCCAGTTGCTGCTCCACGGTTTCTTCTAGTTCAGCCACTTTTTCCTTCAAGTCTTCGCGTTGGCTCTTGATTGCCTTCATCCGGTGCATAACCATTTGATGATCACCATCGATTTGCGTTTGCTCCTGTTCGAGTTCCGCCCCGTCACCCTTGAGGAACTCTTGACGGAGGTTTTCGTATTCTCTAATCGCTTCCGGAGGGATATTAGCATCCTCAGCTGCAGAAGCCTCAAATTCTTCGTAGAGTCGCTCAGCTTCAACAAGACGGCGTCGAACGTCAGCAGCATTCTTCTGCTGGCGCTCGCTATCAGCTTCTAGATCACCAAGCTTATTATTGATCTGATGGATTTTCCGAGACAAAGACTTCTTGTTAGCATCAATTGGCACGCGGTCGTGAGTGCGTGTCTCAAGCTCTTGACGTTGGCGTTTGAGCTCTTCCGCCCTGTCAGCAATCACAAGCACTTGCTGGGAATACTTCAGTGCTGCTTCCTTGTATTTAGCTTCAGCGACTTGCGCCAGCTCCGCGGCCTCATCAATGCGCAGCTGATGCTGATCTTTAGACTCCACGAGCTGCTGGTGACGCTGTTCGTTATGATACAATTTGTAAAGGTAGAGCATAACGATCGCGTCATTTTTGGCGGCCAAGTGTTGTTCGAATTGCTTTTGTTCCGCCATCTGTTCGCGGTATTGACGCAGCTCGTGATTCATAGTACGCTTGCGATTGAATGCCAGTGCCGACACTTCCTGAGCCTTCTCAAGCTCCTCCTTCAACTCATCGTATCGTTGACGGAATTCAGCACTACCACTAACGGTTTCAAGCCACTGGGCAAGTTCTGATGGAGGGCGCGAAGCCACCAGCTCAACGTCACCCTGAAACACGAGGAAATTTCGTGCCAGAACGAGGATGTTTTCCCCTGAAAGCACTTCCAAGTACCGCTTAGCCGATACCACGTTGTCGTTGATACGGTATTCGCTCAGCAGGCCCAGAATGATGCGTTGAAGCTTAATCTGCGTACCGTCATCCTTTTCGTAGTGGGCCGTCACCAGCGCCAGCGTGGGGTCGTCACCATTGTCACCGTCATCCAGTAGCCGGCCCCGGTAAATCAAATCCCGCACGTTGCTACTGCGCAAGTGTTGGGACTGGACACCAAACACGAACAGAATCGCGTCCATCATATTCGACTTGCCGGCACCATTGGGGCCGACAATCAGGATGAAATTCAGCGTGCCAAGGCCAATGGAGGTGTGGCCACGGTACAGCTTGAAGTTCTCAAGCTCAAGCCCACGGAGGCGTCCCATGGTAGAGTCAGAGCAAGGAGATGGAGGTGGGTGTTGAAGAGGGTGGTGAGGGTTCGCTAGACGCGTCGCGCGTTGCCCAGTGTGCGGCTCACCAGTGCGGCAAGGCTCAGAGTGAGCGAGGGTGGGGGCGAGCAGACCCCGTGCCAATTTGTGCGACTTGCCCTCCACGACAGCAAAAGATGTCGGAAAAAAGCGATTGCGCTATCATTACCTCCAGAGGATAGAAGCACAGTTGACACCCACAGCTAGAGGCAGACACCTACAGTTTTCGCAACCAGACACCGCGGGTGGCCGAGCGACTCGGGTTTTGTGCCGATAAGCGGAATAACAATGTAGACGAGGCGAGAAAAACATACGATTATCTGTCGTCGCCGACACTGCGGTTTGTGATTATGTGGAGTCAGCGCCTGAATGGACAAGGTTGGCTGGCGACGTGCGCAGCATACGTCATCCGGAGATCTTCGAGGACGCCGTTTTGTGGGCGTCTGCACCGAGGGATTGCACGCGGGCTAGACACTGTGAATACGTTGATTGGGGGTGGCGAGAACCTAGGGGGACAGGAAAAGAAATAGAAGGTTTCCGGGATTTAGCGAGGCACCGAGGAGTTTTAGTTTAGGCCCTAACCCCCGGTTTTTTTTCTTTTACCCGTTGCGACACCGTCGACTCCATGAACCCTGAGTTGTCGAGGACAGTGTCGCGACACGGTGCTGGTTCGGAAGCCGCCGGTGTCGGGACAGAAACGGTCTGTTGCGCCGCCGAAATAGGCTTGCCCTCCGATGGTTCCACAAACGAGATTTCTTGGCCGTTGGCCCCAGACACTATGCATATAGCAACTATTTTGCATGTCGGGATTGACACACAAAGCCACGCGGCCCCCGACTGCCAAATTCGTGTCGATGTTTGACAACACCCCCTTATCTGTTTACCCATTTGCCGCAATGAGGGCGTTCGGGGGGTCCGGATAAACAAAGGGTCTCGACCCTTGCGTTTGACGCCCCGCTACCTAGAATTTTACTAATGCCTCGTAGTTGTCAGGACTAAACGACATGCGGCCCCGCGTATCGATCGCCTGCCTCGAGGTACCGGCGAAACTGTGCTGGTTTGGGTAAATGTCGGGGGCCGTTGCCGGGGGGACCCGTCGGTGAGTACTGGGTCGCCGGCGACCAACGTGTCTCTGGTACTTTGCACCCCCACTACGACAAAGAAAAAAAAAATAAGGTTATCGGGAGAATGCTTCCAGCGTCGAAAAATAGAAAAGTGACATAGAACCTAGAAACGCGCTTATGGGAGGGGGCTCTCATGACCCACGCACGGCCATTATGTAGTCACTGTGAGGTGTGGGATATTTCTCTCCTATGTACAGTTACTTAATGTGGACGTCTAAACTTATCGCTTTTTTATCTTGTGGCGCCAGACCCTCGCCGGCAGTTATCCGCTTGCGTTCCTCGAACAATTTCCCCAACTCGCGCTCGATCTCGCCGAGCAAATCGTCGTATCCACATTCCTTGGACCGCACCCTCAGCTCTCGTAAAAGTCGTTCTGCCTTGTCGTACTTGCCGAAGTGAAGATTGACGACGCCAAGGCCGTAGGTGGCAAGCGCCACCGCTTCGTCAATTGCCGGCAACAGATCTTCTTTGGCGTGGGCGGCGACAAGCTGGCTTTGCGCCAGCTTGGCAAACTCGAGCACCGCTTCGTACAGTTTTATCGCGAAGTTCATGCAGCGCTCCTTCAGCGTTATCGCCTGTTTGTACGCTTTCATGTCGCTTTCAGGGATGTCAGCCGCCTTGAACTTGGCTTGAAGCTCCTCGTAGTTGGGTGACTGCATCATTTTCTGCTCGGTGATGACATCTTTAAAGTTCACACCCGCTTTTTCGGCGAATTTCTTCCGCCACGCCAATTCCTGGGCTTCGTACTCTTCGCCTTGGATGTAAAATAACGAGCCTAGGTTGCATTGCAGCATGATAATCTTATCCGGCAGCACGTCGGCAAGAAGCATCAGCTCAATCATCGAGATCTTCACCCGGGTTGCCATGTCAAAGTCGCCCATGGCGATACAGATGGCGCCAAGAAGGTCCATGGCATTAAAGAACTCGTCGGCAAACGGCTCCCACACCTCGGGGGTCATGTTGATCACTGTCTGGTTGCCATCTTTATCTTTAATGACAATTTTCGCTTCGTCCAATTCGGCAGTATGATTAGTTCCCGAGCTCAAAGAACGCAATTGGGATAACCCCCCTTGGGCGCCAAGCGACCGCAGCACTTCGTCCTGGGCAATCACTAAATTGGTGATGAGGATCGCCTTGGCGAGTTGAGGGCTCTCGCTGTTCATTTCCGCCAATTTTATCGCCATGCGCAATTCCTTCTGGATCAAGTGACGGCGATGAGCCCGCAGCTTAATCCGCTTACCTTCAGCAGAGTCTTTATTTGCCGTCAACACGTTGAGGTATAACGTGGCAATCTCATTGTAGATGAACGCCGCATCCTCCATCATGTTCAACCGCTCAAACATCTCGCCGATCTTAAGCTGGATCCCGGTATACTCGTCCAGCAACTTATCCATGCCCAACTCATCACACTTGGCCAACGCTTCAAGGTAGTACTTGAGCGCCAACTGGTAGTCGTTCTCCCCCTTTTCCAGCTCGGCCCATAACCCTTTGCGGAGAATTGTCGCCACTTCCGGGGGGAACGTGTGGTGAGGCCACAAGAAGTAGTAGCCTAACGCTAGCACCACGCCTAAGCCAATAACCGTCTTCAAAAACTTGTGCAGACGCTTGGGCGGAGGCCGGTACGGTTGCTGAAACTGGTACGTGTAGTTGTATTTAGGCGGCGGCGGCGGTGGCGCTGACCCCAGCCCCGATTGCGGTATCGCATTGGTAGCAGACGACAGCAGCAGCAGCAGCAGCAGCGGTGGTGGCGGCGGATTGCCTCCATACTTGTAGGATAAGCACCGAGACACGGGCGAAGCAGTATTCCAAACCACCGTGCCAATGGGGCGGCGGAGGGCACGAGTCACCGCGATCATGCCAGGGACTGTCAATGGAAGGGTGATCGGTGAACGCGCGCTCGGGGTCTGTGTAGGTGGTGCAAAACTCCCCCAGAAACACAAGCGCTTAGGATGCTACAGTTTAGTTACCAGGTGGCTTCCGGAACGGGAATTTGCAGTTGGGGTCGCATTAGCGGCGGTGCTTTGTGGGTGGCCGGCAGAGTAGGGAGGGGGCGTCGTGAACAAAACTTAATCGACTTGCTTTTAACGTTTTGTGGTCCCT